AGTGTTGCTGCCCCTGCTGCCACTGCTGCTGCTCTTGAGGATGCTGCCCACTCACACATGCAAGCAAAACAACGACGCAGATGAAGAAGACGACAACAACAAGAACAACAAGAACAACAACAGCAATCAGGCAAAATGAATTTGCAGCTCGTGTTAATCAAGCGAAACACTCCACATCAACACGATTGCATACGACGAGTGAGTTAGTGAGTGAGTGAGTGAGTCGCACTGCGAGTACCCGTACTTATGCTAGTGCACTCAGACTGCGTGGAGCTTGCCGCTTGCCTGATTGCGAGCAGTTTTCATGCCCAGGATACCCTGCACCGCCATCATGGGGGTAAGTGAATCCCTGAAACCCCTTAAAACTTTAAGCGATCGATTATCGACTAATTGTTTACATTTATATATTGTAAAACTAGCTTAAAATATCGTTTTATCGAACTATTTTTGGGAAAAAAGCAACTGCTCAAAGTTGATCGTTGTCTTGTAAGCTTTTGTCGATTAACAACGAGTTATCGTTATCGACAGGCACCCAAAGAAGTGTTGTCATTGCCATATTGAATATTAAATATAATCAATGACTGATTTGATAAATATAACTATTATCGATAAACAATCAATCAATTATCGATGTTTAAACGTTATCGAGCAATCGACACACACACACACACACTAACATGCAGGGCACCTGCCGATCGTCTAAACTGTTCCACTCCAGCTTGACGCTCTCTGCTCCAAATGGAGCATTCTTGCTTGTTATCAATTGTTGTTGTTATTGCATTTAAGTGCAGCTTGTTAATGCTCATTAAATGTTAAGGGAACGCCGACTGCCGACTGTCGACTGTCGACTGAAACTGCCACTTGACATGGCTGCAAGCGGTGGCTCTGGCACTGCATCTGGCTGTGGCTGTGGCTATGGCTGTGACTGTGGCTCCTCTTCCATTGCGTTCTGTGTGCTGTGTGTGTTTTGCCTCGAGTATAACCCGATCCAAGTCTGATTACTATACGCCTTGGTCCAGTCCATAAAATGAAGTGAGCCGAAAGTGTCGCGGCGGGCGCGTTGAAAAGAACTTTGTGCCGTGCGAGTTGTCGGTTAGCCTTCATTTACATTCATACACACGCACACACGCACACACACACACACACACACACACACACACACACACGCACACATAGAGAGAGTCACACACGCACAGACGTTACGGGCGATTAGAAAAAGTGAAGAAGTAAAGAAAAAGTTCTAAGCCCCGCCAAAGGTGGAAACTTGTCGTAAAATGAAAATTCAAATGAAAATCTTGAAAATACATGCCAACATAGACATAGAACGCTGGCGTCCTCCACAGTGCGTGAGAAAACCTGTTCGTTGGAAAAGAGGCTTGTTGTTTGTTGTTTGCTGTTAATTGTGGTTGTTATTGTTATTGTTGTTGTTGTTGTTAATGCTGTGTGTGTGTGTGTGTGTGTGTGTGAGTGTGTGGCGTCCAGAGCTAATTGAAAAGAAGTATTAAGACAGCGTTGCCTTTTGTTTTTCTTTTTTGATTGACTGACCAACCCAGGCCGAGCTGCTGAGATTGAGACCGAGACCGAGACCGAGACCGAGAGACAAACCAGCCCAGCAGCAGGCAGGCAGTCTGGTATGGCATAATTGTGGGATTTACAAGACGAACAAGACGAATAGGATGATGAAGATGATGAAGTTGATGAAGAAGAGGAAGCAGTCAAGTCGAACACAACAACAGTCAAGTTAATTAATAATGCAAAGCTCATGCGCTTGCGCATTCATTCACTCAGTCACTCAGTCAGTCAGTCAGTCACTCAGTCACTTAGTTCATTCATTCATTCATTCAATCACGCAATCAATCAGTCGATGAGTGGCTTAGGCATCTTAACTTTGTTGTTATCGCTCATCAACTGGATGCCTTTTGAGCTGAGCGCTTGAGCTACTTAGCACTCTATGATAGGATGAGGGATAGACTGACCTTCTCCATAATCCTTTTAGTTAGTTAGTCCTTATAGGCTACATTGCAATTATACTGTTTGTTCATTGTGAATCAAGTGAAACTTTTAAATTAAACCATATATATAAATATATAATCAATTTCTATAAATATGAGCTGCCTCACCACCCCCCTAACTTAACTTCCGATGAGTTCTCCAATAACCTTAGAAATATTTTTAAATATTTGATAACAATATAGATGACGTTTCTTAGATTAGAATGTAAATTGATATTTTTGGGTTAGCAGAACTATAAATGAAAGTTGTATATGCAATTTTAATCTCTTTATTTTTGTTATATTTTATTCAATTAAAAAAAATATATATATTTATATATATTATAAATTCATTCAAGTTTAATTTTATAAGTAAATAGAAAGATTGACATCTTATTTGAACCATTTTGATCTGATTTGTTTGTTATGAAAAGCCTTTTGATTTATTTTGAAATTTCAAGAGTCACACAATTCCTGCTTAAAAATGCAGTATTATTTTTATTTTATTTTATGGCTTAAAACGGTAGCTTTTCTTAAAGATCTTAGAGCAACCGAAGCCTTCAGCTCTTGTATTATTTGTATTCTTTACACTTTTCATACTTTTATTTTTGTTTATATATATTTGAAAATATTCCCATGATTGCTAATTCCGTCTCACTTAAAACTTATAAATTGTTTTAAATTTATTGAGATCTCAAAACAAAACATTTTTGAATTTGTATGCCTCTTTTCTCCAGCTGCAATGTACCATTTATATTTGCTCTACTTCAAATAAGAAACCTAACAAACCTTTCACCCTCCGATTCGCTCCACCCACATTCAAGTACATACAATATATATATATATATATATATATATATAGATATATAGATATAGATATGTAAGCTTAACGCGCATATCGCATGACTTAAAACAACATAACAACCACAACTTCCAACTCAAATTCGCATTAATTTAAAACTCAATCAAGACAATTAGCGCGCTCACTCGATTCCCCGTCTCTCTCTCTCTCTCTCTCTCCCACACACGCACACACACACACACACACATACAATTCACAATGCACACATTACACGATCCCTAACCCACTACTCCTCCTCGTACTCCTCCAACTCCTACTACGTCTTCTACTCCTACTGCTGCTGGTGCTGCTCACACGCACAAATCACAGGCAGCAGCAGGCGGCAACATTGTTGCAGCAGGTCAGATATCTGGACAGAGAGACGGGAGCACAAAGCACAGCTGATTCTGTTTCTGCTGCTGCTGCTGCCGCTGCTGCTGCCTAGACGAACCAGTTATGCAGTTTGTTGTAGTCGCAGTCGTAGTCATAGTTGCAGTTGTGGTTGTAATCCAACCTACCTCACGCCAAGCAGCTAGTGCCGAGAGGCACCTCCGGGCACAGCTCACGCGGCCACGCATTGAGGTAGCTGCTGCTGCTTGAGCTGCTGCTGTTGTTGTCGCCTCTCCATGAGTGTGTTGTGTTGCATCAACAAGCTCTCGATGTAAACATTTCAATAAGCCACTCAACAATGGCAACCAATCGCCTTGGCTGCCATTGTTTCTTTAGCAAACTTACATTGAGAATTTATATGCAAAAAAAGTAAAAAGAAAGAAATAAAAATGAACTCAAATAAAAATAAACAAAAAACGAAAAAACAACAACGCAAACAAACAGAACGTCAGTAGCATTTGTTGTTGTTGTGTTCTTATCAGCGGGAGAGCAAGGCAATTGAGAGAGCGTAGAGTGCGAGAGAGCTCCGGCTCGTGAGAGCAAGTAAGAGTGTGTGTGTGTGTGAGAGAGTGTAGGCAACTGACTAACTACGCATGGCTCAGGCACGATGCTATCATATCATGCGGCATCGCCTGCCGGGAGACCCGATCAGATCCCACACACACACACACACACACACACACACACACACACACATACACATATACACAGAACCTTACCTTACTCACACAAAACGGATTCGAACAGCTGGTCGGTCGTTCGATCGATCGATCGTTCGTTGATTGCACACACGATCAACGATCAACGACGATCGATCGATCCGAATCGTAGCTTGTTGCATCTGTTGTGGTTGTTGTTGTTGTTGTAGTGTGTGGCTTGGCTGTTATTAAATCAGTTGAAGAGATAGCCACTCGCGTTCGCATTTGCCGAGGCGCTCAAACAAACGATCGTAATACATCGTGATCGTCGTCGTCGTCGTCGTCGTTGCTTTCGTCGTAAACTGTGGGCTCAACATTTATTCCCATTCATATTCAGTCAGTCTTTGACTAAGCGTCGCAGTTGTCATCGTAGCGGGCACTGTGGTTTAACTGACTACTGACTGCTGACTACCGACTACCGACTACCGACTAGGGATTCTGAATCGAATTCTGATTCTGTCAGTGCGTTAGCTCCTCCTCCGGTTTCGGGTTTGCACAGGCGTTAGATACACGCACACACACACGCACACGACCACAATCATATTTCTATTAAACGGATACGGATGCGGTTTTGATTACACACACAACACACCCAACATACACACACACTCACACGCACATACAATAGGCAATTACGAATCTCCAGTACGAGTGCAAAAGTGCAATGTCTGGGTGTGATTAAAAATAAAGTTCAGCATATTCTATTGTTTTCGGAATGATGACAAGTGCAACTTCAACTACAACTACAACAACAAACATAACAACAACAACTACAACAACAACAACAACAAGAGAAGCAGCTGATTCCGATTAGAGGACGCGGATCGATGCAGGCATGCAGCAATAAAGAGCTTTAATAACAACAAATAAATATAATAATCAATGTGCAATATAGCTGAAATATATTTATAAAATATAATAAAAAAAAATAAATAAAGAAAATATCAATAAATTATATTATAAGCAATATCAATTCAAACGCCGGTTTAGTGATAATAGCTTTTATATAAATACATATAGAATGCAGTGCAATGTTGTCAATAAATCAGTAATTAAATTAATTATTAAGTGAACGAAAAAAAAAACGTCTAAAATGTTAGCTGAAAGTGCTTCATTATTGACTTAACGACAAATACAGAAAATAACGGATCTTGAATTGGATTTAAAACAAAGCACGCAATTAAAAAAGGTAAGTTTTCAAAGGATGAAAATATGGCCAAAAGAAAAACCTTTTCAATTGAAATGTAAGCTATGTTTTTCCAATAGGAATCTTTAAAAACGCTCGGCGGTCAAAAAATTAATTGAAAAATTGGGTTCTAAAAAGTTGGTAAAATCTTATGATTTTCTTATAATTTTATTAAATGATAATGTGTCCTAATTTTTATTAAGAAAATTATCAAGGACGAAGTCTTAATATTAATTTATTGACCACACTGTAAGCAATATCGTTCCCCTATCAAGAAAATGCATGGATTGAAATGTTTTTCATATTATTATGCAAGAAATAAATGCATAAATATACATAAATATATTCATATATAAAAACATATTTAATGCAAATTTATTTATACATTTGACTTTGGCAAATAATCGCTTTAAATTGCAATTAGTTTCTTACCTCTTCTCACGGCTGTTGCTCTTGCTTATCGAGTGCTTTAAGTTGTGTGTGGGGGGGGTTTGTGTGTGTGTGTGTGTGTGTGTGTGTGTGTGTGCCCACTGCTCATTTTTTATTTATTTATACAATTTTATCTCATTATTTATCAAGTTTCGCAATCGCCTGCTCTTTATGATTATAATTATTTAAATAATAATTTTCTTTTGTTATCAATTAAGTGCGCCTCAAGTTCATTATCATCATTAAAAAAACTCCATCTCTCTCCTCTCTCTCTCCACACACACACACACACACACATACAAACACATTGCATAATTGCCAGTTGCCTTTCATTGCTGTTGTTGTTGTTGTGATTTGTAATGTACACAAACAATTTATTATACATTTTCAAAGTGAATGTCAGTCACTCCTTTTTTTTCACAATTATTTTATTTATACATTTTTCAGTTAATTTTTTAAGCAACGTACATTGACCGCCACTTTTCGAGGCGATGATACATTTTCGTTTATGGCACGATTATCGGGGCTTGAACTGGGTTTCGAGAATTAAAAAAAAAAATAAAAAATAATAATGCGGGCTGTATAATGCATACTCATTCATGCATTCCGGCATTGTGCTTTATTTTTAGATGACTTTTACGAGAGCTACTAATTTACTAATTAATTCATATTTCAACTGACTGTCATCTGATTTGAAAGTTTTAACAAGATTCTGTTCTGTTTTTCATTCAATTTATTTATTTTAAGCTTTACTGGTTTAATAACCTACAATATATATTCGATAAAATAAGAGTGACAAAGCTCTTTGATTTCCGAAAATATTAGCATGTTATTTTAGCAATATATTCAATCCAATTAGATAGATCTGTTAATCCATTCAACAAGATTTCTACATCAGTATGGAAAGTACACGAGATATGTTATTTTTCTAGAGTTTCTGGTAGATTCATTGTTATTCCATGAGCGATCGCAAGCTGATAGCTTATGCTGCTCAAGCCCACTCAAAAGTTCTTTCACTTTTCTTCTCTATTGCCTTTCTAACGATTCTTTGGCTATTGAATAATTCACACAGAGCGCAACGCACAACGGCCAAAATAAATAATGGACAACAAATGCCAAAGCTTGTTTTGTGTTGTGTTGGCCAGAAGACAAACCAGAGTCGGCTGCGGGACTTTGGCTCTTCTCAAACAAAATCTAATGCGAAATTTCTCTATTTCTCTATTTCTCTATTACCATTTGAAAGCAGAGACTCTCTGCTGGCCGAGGCTGAGGACGTTGCGGAGGTTGCTTCACAGACTCTCCTATTCAGTTGTGGTTATCTCAAGCACGTCGTTGGCCGTACATTGAACTTGGCCAAACGTTGGACGGACAGTGGCTTAGCTAATGGGTTGGACTGTCTCCCTCTCTCTCTCGCTCGCTCTCTCTCTCTCTCTCTCTCTCTGTCTGTTTCTCTATCTCGCTGTCTATTGCTTCATGGAACAGCTGACAAACGCTATGCGCGAAATTTTTTTTTTTGCCCGCTGACTGCGAACTTGGCTTTGGCTGTTAGCTGTTGGCTGTTGGCTGTTTGGCCATTTGGCTGTTGGCCGTTTGCCGCTTGAGGCTTGAGACTTGGCCGTGACCATGAAGCGGTGCGGTTGGGTTCCGTTGCGTGTGCAATGTTATATGGTAGCGGCAGTAGTGACATAATCTGCTGATGTTGAGCGTTCTACGCTTTGGGGCTGTGGTCTCTTCTTCTTCTGTAACTGCGCAGCGGATCGCGTGGCTTTTATTATATTTTTATGTATTATTTTTATATTTATATTTTTTTATTTATTTTTTTTCATTTGGTTTTTTTTCCATTTGGTTTGATTTGCATAAATGTGAAAAAATGTGCCAATAAAAAAATAGCCAAGAATATAATCAAAACTTTATGTAAATTCTGATGAAAAAACAAACTGGTTTATTTCGCAAAATAAACAACAACACAAAATAATCGGCTAATTGGTAGAACACTTTTTTTCATTTTTAGTTTTTTGTTTGGGTTGTTTTTTTTTTGTCACTTTTTAGCAACGTTTGCAGGCCACCTTGTATAAGTACCAGTTTTGTTTTTATTTTTTACAAAAGTTACTAAGCAAATGCTGAATAATTTTATGTAGGTGTCAACAATAATTTGCAGTTGCACTTGGACTTGGACTGCCTGACGCCACAGGAATCAGTTCAATGCAAACTCAATTTGCTGAATTGGTCGAAATGACTTACATTTTTATTTTTAATTATTATTATACTCTGTTTGTTTATTATTTTATTTTTGGAAAGCATTCATCGAAAGTTGTAAGCTAAAACCAAAGAAAACAAATATATGACAACTGAAGAAAGCTGAAAAATGATCAACAAATTAGGCTAAGGAATGCCACAATACGCGTGGAGCTCAGAAAAGGTCGTGCGACCAGTACAGTGGTCACTAAGCTATGAAAAACCACATAAAATGTGGCACTATTAAAATCTTATCAAACTGGCCAAAGCGTAAAGAAACATTAACTGGAAGCTGTACAGGATTAATAAAAATAGTTGAAGATTTTTTATAAAATGATCAAAAGACATATCTGTCAAGTTTATCATTCATAAATATTATAAACTTTAAATTTGAAATCATGCAGCAAAGAATATATTTAATTTATAAAAGGAGGTCACCAAACAATAAGCAATCATATCTCAATTATTGTTTGAGCTCTTCAGCATTTAGTAAAAAAACAACCTTCAACTATTTTTATTAATCCATTTAATAAATCACTCATATTCGTATAATACGATCAATCAATATACTGATTGATAAGTAATCTTAAAATCACTGTATGGCAGTTTTACGAAATGATTAATGTTGAAAGAAAGTCCACTTCCACTTGAGATACATTTTTATTTGTTCCGGCCCACAAATTGTCTTCGTTAATCAACTTGTACTTTATTTGCAAAGAACTAACGATAAGGGCTAGATACATTTTGAGCAAGGGTTGACTTTTAATGTATTTGTAGACTTGACATTGACTGGTTAAAATTGATGTATACAGCCCAAAACCACTAATAATTCGAAAATGGAGCATTTCTTTGTACTCATTTTAAATGAGAATACATGTAATTAAATTATATTTCCGAAAACTATAAACTTGTATCTGTAGCCAACCCCTAGATATAAGCAGAAGCTGCAACAAACTTCATTGTGGGTTGGTTTAAATACAATATAGGGGCTGTGTTTGGCTTGGTTCTTGGTTAGATAGGCTCGTTTGGTCGATAGTTGGCTGGCTTGCAAAAAGTGGAATCGCAAGAAATTGAAATCATAGCCAGTTCAGCACTTCCTTCTATGTTGCTAATCACTTCCTCATCTATGGGGCGACGCGTGCGCCGTTCTAAGCGCTTCTCACTTTTCCAAGTAGATGAACAAAAAAAAAACTCGCTTTTTAATAAGAATTCTTGCGAATTCTACACAACTCAGGTCTGTTGACTGTTGGTGCGCGTTTGCCGGCACCATGATTAATATGCATATACATAGCATTTCGAACAGGAAGGGGGTAGTGGATAGGGCGGTGGGGCGGAGGGGGGAGAGGGAATTGTCTTGGCCTGCTGTGTTGTCGTTAGAGCCGCGTTAGAAGCGCGCCCCGGTTTAAGTCGAATGTTTGAAAACCGGCTTCGAAACCAGACACAGGCGATGCGAGAAGAAAGCATCGCTCTGAGGTTGAGAATGCGACATTAGAAAGCATATTATGTAATTTATTATTATGTAAAACGAGACGATGGGAAAGTTCTTGTTATTGACTCTCAGTTTGTTGCTTCTCTCATTTCTCATTTTGTTTTGGTTTAGTATTTCACAATTTGTAGCCATCATTTCTTTACACAACCATTTAAAGGGCTAATGCGCAAATACAACATTTTGGGGGTTTTTCTCTTCGGGTTTTGGTTATCACAACAAATATTTATGAGAGTCTCGAGGAACGACGCTACAAAAAACAAGCAAACGAATATTTTGTGCCTATTAAATTCTTATTGCGTATGGTATTTTTGCCAATACAAGTTGATCTTTTGTGGTAGCTGGTCAATATTTATATTGACAGCTTAAACGTTCAAAAGCCGTAACACGATTTTATATTATACTAATAAATTGACAAGTGGTCTAAAGAGTGCAATGCTCATATATTAATATGTACATATCTTAATCAAGTTAAAAATATATACATTTTTAATAAATATATATTGCAGTTTGACAAAGCACCAATAAATGTGACACAAGTATATATATATATTTGTATATATTAATAATTAATTTTATATCAATTTCTGTGTGCCGCAAATCGATTGTTTCTTTGGTTTGGTTTTGCAGCTGATGAAAAGCCAAATTAATTTTAAATAATCAATTTTTATGCCCTGAATTCATTGAAAATGCGCAAAATTGTGAAATGAAGTTGTCCAAAAGTATGTAACAAGCAAAAGGAAGAATGTTTACTCCATAAATTATATATATTCTGTATCAGCAATATCAAGTTGTTTTGCTAGAGTATTTAAATTTAGAAATGTTATCAAGATTGGATAAGAAACTCGCATTTTTTTTGTTGACCAAAACTAATTTTTGCTGTCAGAATGATTTTAGTTTCGGGTTTGTGAACATGTTTTTCAAAACAATCTACATATTTAACAACTCCTGGTTGAGCTAGCTCGTTTAGCGCATTTTAATTTGTTTTTAGCAGGCAATTGCATTTTGATTTCGAAGAATAAAAACAACTACAATTTGTGTTTTATATGTATAACAAAGTGGTTTGACATTGCCAAATTGCTTATCGATAATTTCACCAATTCCAAGTCGAAGATTATTCGACATATGTCCGATAGACAAATGACCTACAAACTGTTTAACTTGACCGATAACGGACCATTCCAGAAAGCACAATTCAACTCGCTTTTCAATTCGCTTTTTCATTTTTGGCAAGTCACAGAGACTTGTGGTTTTATTATTGTTTTCGGGACAACCTTGAATCGTTGTTGTGCTGTTTATCTTATCTAAACGCTTATTGCATGAAGACATTTGCTAAGTATTCACACACACGGAAATAAATTATTCTTATCGTGCCAGCCAAACACAATACAAAATCGATTTAAATGGCAAACTTTTTCAATATGCATAGCAAACATTAAAGGCTAGGCCAGAGACCGGTTTGGTCTTGGGTACGTTCATGACTGCAATTAAAATACCTAAAAAAAATTAATAAAAAAAATTGACCAATTGCCAAAAAATTTGCACTAAGAGTAAAGTAGATTTTAATGAAGAAAAATACGCGTTTAAACCGTAAAGCAAGCGACTAATTCAATATATCAACTTAAACGTCTGATCTCCTGATATCTCTCTCTCTCTCTGTTTCTATCTCTTTCTCGCTCTCTCTCTCTCCTCTCTCTATGTGTGTGTGTCTCTAAAGCGTCCAATGGTAATGGCCGTGATACTGTTGCTCGCCCTGGCACTCGTACTCGGTTGCTATTGTGCGATTCATCGTCAAAAGATCTGTGCGATTTACTTGAAGCCACTGTTGAAGAATACACCGCTGGAGGATTGCTATCATGCCACGCCCATTGAGCAGCGGAAGCGCAAGGGCATCTGGGATATACCCGGTCCGCAGCGTATACCCTTCCTGGGCACCAAATGGATATTCCTCATCTTCTTTCGGCGCTACAAAATGACAAAGCTGCATGAGGTCTACGCAGGTGAAAGACTCTGCCAAACTCAAAGAGCACACGCCAATAATCTATACTCTCTCCCTCTCTTTCTCTCTCTCTCTCTCTCTCTTTCTCTCTCTCTCTTTGTCTCACGCAGATCTGAATCGACAGTATGGTGACATTGTGCTGGAAGTGATGCCCTCGAATGTGCCCATTGTGCATCTGTATAATCGCGAGGATCTCGAGAAGGTGCTCAAGTATCCCAGCAAGTATCCCTTTCGTCCGCCCACCGAAATCATTGTGATGTATCGTCAATCGCGACCCGATCGCTATGCCAGCGTTGGCATTGTCAACGAGCAGGGACCAATGTGGCAGAGATTGCGTTCCTCGCTCACCTCGAGCATCACCTCGCCGCGCATCCTGCAGAATTTTCTGCCCGCTCTCAATGCTATCTGTGATGATTTCGTTGAGCTGCTGCGCTCCAAACGCGATCCACACACCGATGTGGTGGCCAACTTTGAGGAGCTGGCCAATCTGATGGGTCTGGAGGCCGTTTGCACTTTGATGCTCGGCCGGCGCATGGGTTTTCTTGCGGCCAATACTAAGCAGCCGGAGAAGATCAGCCAATTGGCGGCGGCTGTCAAACAGCTGTTCATCTCACAGCGGGATTCGTATTATGGGCTGGGCCTCTGGAAATACTTCCCCACCAAGACATATCGAGATTTTGCACGTGCCGAGGACTTGATCTATGAGTAGGTATAAACTATATGCATCAGCGGCAATTTATTGCATTATTTCTAATATGCCTGTGCCTCTGACGCAGTGTCATCTCCGAGATCATTGACAACGAACTGGAGGAGCACAAGAAGTCCGCCGCCTGCGAGGATGAGGATGCGACCGGACTGCGCTGCGTATTCCTTAACATACTCGAACTCAAAGAATTGGACATTCGGGACAAGAAGTCGGCAATCATTGACTTTATAGCCGCGGGCATTGAAACGGTGAGTGTGAACAGAAATCGGATCTGATCTGATCTTAATTAGAAATGTATATTATATATCTTATTATTTATAAGATAAGGTGAAATATGAATTATTTTATATATAACATATTTCTTACCAAGATAACCAAGTAAATCTCATCAGTAATGCTTTTCCTAAAAATATCATTAAAATATCATACCGCTCATAAAAACAATCGTTTTTGATAGTCAAATTTAGTTGACGGAGGATTGATTTCAGTCAACAATCTAATGTAATCTTCTTCTTCCTTGTTTAGTATTTAAATAAATATTATTTCCTTTGCACTCCATCTCAATCTCAATCTGTGTCTCACTCTAGCTAGCGAACACACTGCTCTTCGTGCTCAGCTCGGTGACGGAAGATGCTTCGGCACTGCCTCGCATACTCGGCGAGTTCCTTGAGTATCGTGACACGAACATCCTGCAGGATGCGCTCACGAATGCCACATACACCAAGGCGTGCATACAGGAGTCGTACAGACTGAGGCCCACGGCCTTTTGCCTGGCACGCATCCTCGAAGAGGACATGGAACTATCCGGTTACTCTCTGAATGCGGGCGTGAGCAGCTGAAGAACTTCATCTTCCCATTGCAGTCATTTAATAGTATTCATTATTTTTTGTAGACTGTGGTGCTGTGCCAGAATATGATTGCCTGCCACAAAGATGGCAACTTTCGCGAGGCCAATCAATTTAGCCCGGAACGCTGGATAGATGCCACAACGGGCAACTTTACGGTGAATGTGGACAGTGCAAGCATTGTGGTGCCCTTCGGAGTGGGTCGACGCACCTGTCCCGGCAAGCGATTCGTCGAAATGGAGGTGGTCCTGCTGCTGGCAAAGGTCAGCTAATATAACTTAAATCTATTTAAATTGTCTTCAATTAATTCGCATTCAATTCGCAGCTGGTGCTGGCTTTCGATGTTAGCTTTGTGAAGCCGCTGGAAACCGAATTCGAGTTTCTTTTAGCCCCCAAAACGCCGCTAAGTTTAAGGCTGCGCGATCGCGACTCATGAATCGTATTGTATCTAATACAATCCCCCTAAAAAATGAAAGGTTAACACACTAATATATTATTTTGTATATACGAAAGAAGTCTAGGGAGTAGAACTCATGTAAGTCTAAGCACGCTCGCAATTTGAATGTGGTAAAATATTTGTCCGTTTGGTTTCTGAATTGATTTTCCTTACAAACTTAAATCGTGTCTTTTCAAGCTTCAGCTTAAATTACCATTTATACACCTACACCTACACTTAAAGATCATTTTCGAGTTGTAATGAGAAATATTTAAACTTTCATCCGCAAAGTATGCTAAAAAAATGCAAAATTCACTTTGGGAAATTAAATCCTAGAAGCGAGCGTTGAATATATGACAAAAGTTAGATATAGCTTTGCAATAGAACCCCACAAATCTAACAAAATACAAAACAAAAAAGGATGAAAAACATAATAAAGAAACCTAACTGTACATAGAAGAAAAGACTAAAAAGTTGCATCCATTTAGCTGTATTTGAATACGTTTCTTTGTGTTGTTGTAGGTAGTTATTGTTAATCTTAAGTAGCGGCAATTATTTTTGTGGCGTGTAAACGGAAAGACTGTGTTTAAGTTTTGTTGTTTTAATGCTGATTGTAACTCGTAATCGTGTAATCTGTATAATCTATAATCTGTATAAAAAGACACATCTAATTCGTAATGCTCTGTACAGTTAACCAATATGTATTTATTCCAAGTTTTTCTATTTCTTAGTTCTTGTATCTGTGTATATTTTTTGTTAAATGATAAAAAAAAGAAAAACAAAGCGAGAGTTAAAAACAATAACGAACAAACAAACAAAACAAAAAAAACAACGAAATAAAGCAATGATTTTAAACTGTGTTTGCAATTCTTGTAACAATTTCTTATTGGGGGTTAATTTGAATTTCTCCAATAATGAATTTAGAAAATATAAAAAGTATATTTAGGAATAACTGCTCTTGAGTTTTTTTTATTATATTATTTAGTTATTTTTTGAGTTGCATATTTTCTTTTAGGAAAACTCTTCTCAGTATTTCTGCTAAATTTTCGATATAAAAAAAGGTACTTTTCGACATTTAGCCATTTCTGCAACCACAGCTCGTCGTGCTACAGTGCCGTCCCATATATTCGATACACAATACCGTGTGGCTTGTGTCTTGGCTAAACTGGTCAATTACACTGCTGTCCATTTAACGTGCTTGGATAGATAGATGGATTTTTAAACAAAGCTCAGACAATAAATTAGCAAAAATTCTTTTGCCTTTTTCACAAATGTTAAAATTTAAAAAAATATATATCACATTTTGCTGTATATTTGTTGTTTATTTATTTAGGTTTTGATAGTTGTGCAAACAGTTTGGTAAAGTAAAAAACACTTGGCTCGCTTTTGGGTTTCTAAACATGTTTCAAGCGCTGCACGCTCAGCGTTCGCTCGCTCTCTGCTCACTTATGCTCTGACTGTCGCGCGCTCTCTCTCTCTTTCTTTCTCTCCATCTGTGTGTGTGTGTGTGCATAGTGGGCTTGGAGCTGGGGCTTGGGCCTGAACGGTTTGGGTTTTGGGTACGTTACAACAGTTGTCGTTGGCGTGTCGTCGGTTTCAGTTTCAAACTTACCCGTTTCAGCGGTGAACAATAAATTTCCGATTAAATACAAAAATTGCGCGCCTGAACATTCAGAGTGTAACTGTAGCTGCGTATTTAACACAGTTCTCGTGTGTTTTGTGAAGAATACCAAAAACTAACAACAACAACAGCAACAACAATTGGCTGCACTTTTATCTGCACCACTAATAAGTATTAGCCATGTACGCAAATGCAAAAATATGTTGCAACATACACACACCTCACACACACCTCACACACACACACACACACATAACTAAAACCAGTTTTTATTTTTTTTATGTCAGCGCAGGCAACATAAACTTTTAAAAACTAAAAAAATACAGTCGTAACTAACTCAAAAATGCATCATTTACTATCAACAAAATGAAAATGAGTTTGCTGTATTCAGCTCTTTATTTATTTTTTTTGTTACGACTTCAGAGTCAGAGTCATAGACAGAGACAGAGACAGAGACGGAGTCAGAGACAGACTCTCAAATGTGTGATCTGCGATCTGTGTTCTCTCATCTCCGCAGATCGACGCTCTCGATCTGAGTCTGCAGCCCCACCCGAAAACTAATTGTTATTGCAGTACAGCACACAGGCAACAAGAACAACAACAACAAGAAGAACAAATAAAACAACAAGAAAAACAACACCAACAATAAGAGCGTAACATATTGCTGCTGCTATTATTATTCAACTTGCTAATTATGCACCACTTATTTACACTAGCTAACAAATTGTTGATTCTATGATTCACATCAATTTTGTCTCACTCATCAAGTCTATTTACAGGAAAATTGTTTGAATGTGATTAAAGCAACAGCAAAATATTAAAGAAAAAATATGAACATTATTAGCAGGCGTAAATATACCAAAAATAAAATAAATAAAATTATTTAGGCCTTATTAAAGTAAGAAAAATATATTATTTATATATATATATACAAAATATATATATATAGAAAATAATAAAAATTGTTAGCGGTGTTTAATTTGCCAGAAATAAAATTTCAAAGAAAAATTATCATCAATTAGCTGGTTGCTAAATTAATTAGCCATCTATTTTTTAATTTCTAATGAATTATATCATAAAAACAATTACAATCTCTTACTAAATAATTTCTTGCGATTTATGTTTGCACTATAAATAGCTGCATTCAATTATATTGTCATCATAGAATAATATAAAAAAAAAAACAATGTAAAATACAACACTTGCTGACACTGACCTTCAGTTTAGCTGTGTCATTGCTCGCCCAGCTCGCCCAACCCTCAACAATTATACCACTGACTGAGACTGGACAATGTGTTGGCTACAACACAAATAAAAATATGTAACCCCTTGCTAACTGGCAAAAGCCACTCTGTTCGCGTGGGTTTGCAAGCCAAGTTTGGGGTGTGGGTCCAAATGAGGTCAACAAATACGGCGCGCTGGAAAATCGCAACAATTTACTCACGGCAGTTATGGTTATTGCTAAGGGCGGCAGGCAATAGGAAAAACAACATGAGCCACTTTGGCAAGTACAGTAGGCGCCAATGCGAACCGCCCCTTACCCAAAGCCAGTTTGTCAGTTTGCCAGTTGTGCATATTAATGCCACAGAGAGAGTGAGTGAGAGAGAGAGAGAGAGAGAGCGAGAGACGGGAGGGACTACAGTGGGGGTGTTCAGTAGGTATTGCGTCGAAACGGAAAGAAACCAAAAAAGAACTCGTTTTTTTTTGTTATGATTCTCAATGAGTCTATCAAGTGAAATTTGATAATGTTATCCTTTCGCAATGGCAGGCAGGAAATTGAATAATTGAATTTAAAGTGAGCTAATTAATTTAAGCTCAAGTTGCAAGTTGCAGAAGCAAGCGGAGAATGGCAGACCAAAACAAAACGGCACAATTGCAACAACAACAACAACAAAAGATCAACATAACTGGCAAGTCGATGACCCAATCAAAGGCGATACCAACCAGACCAGTTATAAGGCTGCCCGCCAAGCCCTTCTAAGATCCCTGCAAGCAGAAAGCGAAACGAGGTTAAAGCACACTCCCGTCCAAAATATTGTGCACACAACAAGCGAGAGCGAGAGAGAGAGGGAGCGCGAGAGCGAGAGTTTTGTGGCTGCGCGAGCGCAAAACAGGTGTGGCTACTTCACTACTGCTCGCTCTCTCTCTCTCTCTCTCTCTTTCTGTCAGTCTCTTTCCCCGCACACCTGCCCGGTGCATGCCAAGAAACCCGTTCAACTGGTCAAGCGATTTGTTTACATTTTTTTATGGATGTTTTGGTCGCTCTGTTATTTCCTTTATTTATTTTTGTTTTTTTTTTTGGTTTTTGCTTTCTTCTAAATTGTTTGGGTGTAAAAAAAAACGTGAGAAATTTGTTTTCAATAATGTGAAAATCGTTGTTGTTTTACAAAAAGACTAACTCGATGCGGCAGCTGCTGAATTTGAATTAGAAAACTTACAAAAAAAAAAATCAACACTAAACAAGTTGTGTCATGCAATATTCATTTTGCTAATTGTACTTAACGTTTTTTTACAAAATGATAAGCGATTTTTTATAATGCACATCATCTATGTAAATAGAAGAGTGCAATTTTGCATAGGGGTATTCCCCTATTTTAGTAAAGCGAAATATTCTCCTGCTGACTGTGTTTTTTTATTTTTATTTATATTTTATTTTGTTTTGTTAAAAAATGTTGTATACTCAAAAGGAGTACAGCTTTTAGGGTATTCCAATTGGTGTATATCGAAATATTCTTTACCTTGTTGTTTATTTTTTTCTATAGTAATTACGGTTATTTGTTTATTTCATCAGAGCACGCAATAGTTTATCACCCTTATTTGTTGCGGAGCCTACACACTCAAATGTTTGTTAGGGCCGCAAGTTAGTGTTAATCAAGCAAAAGTTGTTAACTATATGCTAACCATTAACTTTCCCTCTCTCTCTCTCTCGCTATTCCTCTCCCACTCTGTATGATCCTCTCTCTCGCACACACCTCCAACCAGACTCACTTGGGAGAAAGTTGTTTACTGTCTGGATTTTTGTGGGTTCTGGTTTTCCCGCGTGCAGCGTAATTGTTCATTACAGTCGGCAGGGTTAACTATATAGCACATATATATATATATATATATCTCCTCTTGTATACATATATCAGTTGCTGCTCAACCTCCTCAGCATTTATGGCATTTATTTTTATTGTAAGTGCCTTCGGTAATGCAATTATTGTTAATCAATGAGTATCGCCAATGGGGCATGAATGAATGCCCCCAAATAACTGAGCCATGAAGCGACAAGAATTCACAACAGCAACAACAACAGCAACAGCAAGAGTAAAAGTGTTAAACAGGCCAAGTGTCGCATTGTTGTGCGTATTGTTGGTTAAACTGTAATTATGAACACGTCAGAAGAGACAGGACTTTGCGAGCAATTAGAAAGTATGACTTGAATGCGCCTCTCAATAGCTTAATAGCATTTGAGTCATTTATGAGGCACCAACTCATTTAGTATGTAGTGCGAATAGCAGCTGGGAATCATTTCGGATTGCACCCACACCCAGCTATGACATCATTCCATGATGATAGTGCCTTCTGGGGCCCTTTTACAATCAATTAGATGCCGGCTTTGAGAAGCCATTGCGAGTAATAGTTTTTTTTTTTTTTTTTGTTTGGTATGTGGGCGACAATTGACACAAATACTGAGCACATTGCGTTTTCCACGCTCCACCAAGCACCCGAGCTAATAATGAGAATAACGAGAATAACGCATAACAAACCAATTGCCAAATATGGCAAATACATAAAAATACAAACGTTGCAAAACCCAGAGATACTGAAGATAAACCCAAAATCTTTAATTGTTGACTGCCAAAAACAAAAACACTACAAATAAATACTCGTAAAAACTCAAAAAAGAAAACAAACAAAAAAACATTAAACGTTCAAAATGAGCTACTTGCGTTCTATAGGTACTTAATATACTCCATAAATGGAGCATTTGGAGCTGACTGTTCCAGACAACAAAAAATCAACCAACAAACAAACAAACAAACACAGAAACATACACAACACACAGGAATTTAATTGAATTACGCGCTAATTGATTGGATAATTGCATTTGTTTATTTGAACAGAAATCTCACGAGTTGAAATGTCGCCGGCGGATGATAATTCCTTTGCCACAACAAGTGGCAACAAGAAGGCAACCTATACGCTGATAACCATCAAAGTTGTCGAACTGGTGAGTCAACTGAGCTGTGTTAATCGAACAAGATGACAGCAAAATTCCTAATTGCAATAAATTACTTTCGAATTGTGAGTCCAGTTTGCATAGCAATAGACAGACAGGCAGATCAGATATATATATAATTTATGGAGTCGGAGATGAATAAATTATAGCTATATCTTCAAACAATTGTTCCCATGAAATTAGTATTGAATACTTGAAAAATGATATAATCATAAATAAAATAATAAATATATATTTAACATAAACATCCTTCAGACGTTCCCAAATTAGAACTAGAATTCTAAATGCGATTTTTTAGGATGGGATTTAATTTGTATCATGACATGTTTATCATGATATCTGCAGATTTTACTTCTCAACTGGCTGAAGTGTGAATACAATTAAAGTTTACAAAACATAAAAAAAAACAATTAATACAATTTAGCATGAAATTTAATAGCTAAAATAAAATGAAAAATATTTATGCATATAAAAACAATTTTATAAACAATTTTTAAACAATTTCATAATTATTTACATCACTAAATCAATAAAATCTAAATTGTAATTTGTTGATATTATTTTGGTTAACAGTGCCTGCTAATATGCTGCCTGGGATTGATCGATGAGCCTGCCACCAATTCGCAGTTGCGTGTCTTTATAACGCCCCGAGTTATGGCGCTGTGCTATGTGACCTTTGGAGCTTTGGCCATTTACACGGCCATCTATTTGATAATGGCGCTCTTTGGGGATCTGTGAGTGCATCCGTGCATCCCAATGCAGTTGCATCATTTGCTGATAATTCCTTAATATGTTGCAGGTCGCCATGGCGCACGGCGACACTGTGGTCTCTGGTTGGATTTGTGCTTTATGTGGCTGTAACGGCACTGTTATTCCAAGACTGGAGCACCACCAAGGATCGCAATTACTGGCATCCGAATATGCATCGCCTGGATCTGGTAATGGCATCTGCTTCCATATCGCTGGTCACCGCTTTGGTCTATCTGCTGGATGTGCTGTTGACCATTCGCTTTGGTGTCCACGGCGATTTGGATTGACATGGCATCAGGCACAGTGCCAGATCATTTTACTGTAATATTTACAGAGCATCGTAGTCATAAGCTGTCCCACCACACCCCCAATTCTCCCTGCTAAGTGTAACAAATTGTTCAAAAGCACATACAAAAAACAAAAACAAAATCATAATTGCCATCATTGAAATGCGAATGTACAAAATGAATTGTAAGAAATTTTTATAAAACAAAAATGTCGCGAAATATTTGTAAAAGTCTCGCTTAGCATATGAATCACGAAATGTTTTTTTCTAATCCACTTAACATAAGTTTTACACCGAATATTTTTGATAACGAATGAAATAAATTTTCACTAAAAGAACAAACGATCTTCAAAAATATGTGAGTTAATGTTTTATTTTTTTTGTTAAATATATCAAACAGGATGGATTTCATTTGTTGAAGGATGACATATTATTATTATTAGCAAAACATTTTATTTGTTTAAATATGCCTTTTATAACGATCTTTAATACGATCAAAACTAGGCTTGCAAATGCAAGCAACAACAATTTTCAAAATGTTTTTGTGAGCTGTTTTTTTGTTTTTTAAATGATACGCGATATTTACAACACCAAATGATGAAGGATAATACAAAAAATGGAGGACATATGTATATAAAAACAACACGTTGAGATTGAGAATTCAACTCATTTGATAGCGATGGTAAAGTATTTCTCAATATCCTGATCGCTCTCAATCATTTTGAGGCTGTGAAATGTCTTCCGGATGTAACATTTACACACATCGCCATCACCTGTTGCGGTCAAAGAAAAGATGGTTTTAGTTTGAATGGATGATTTGGGATGTGATTCGCGGGGGACTTACCCAGGTTGCCGTCGCAGATGCGTTGCGTGATGAGTTTGGCGAGCGCTTTGAATAGTTCTTTGGTGGCTATTTTGCGCTTGTAGTAGGGATTTAGCAACTGCACCACCGCCTTGCTGACATCGTTCTTTTGCTGATTCACCGGCGGCTTCTTCTTCTCCTTCTCCTTCTTTTTGTCCTTCTCCATTTTCTCCAGCAACGCGGCTGACTTCTCCTTTGGTGGCTTAGTCGGCTCTTTGCTGATCTCTGACTTCTCCTTTGGCTGCTCATCTCGAGGCTTCTGTGGCTTAGTCGGCTCTTTGCTGATCTCTGACTTCTCCTTCGACTGCTCATCTCGAGGTTTCTGTGGCTTAGTCGGCTCTTTGCTGACCTCTGATTTGTCCTTCGGTTGCTCATTTCGAGGTTTCTGTGGCTTAGTCGGCTCTTTGCTGATCTCTGATTGCTCTTTTGGCTGCTCATCTCGAGGCTTCTGTGGCTTAGTCGGCTCTTTGCTGATCTCTGATTTCTCCTTCGGCTGCTCATCTCGAGGCTTCTGCTCTTTGCTAATCTCTGGCGACTCATCTTTTGGCTTCACTTCTGGACTCTTCGGCCCCAGCAATTGTTGTACAGGTTTGAATATCTTCAAAACTGACTCCTGTTTCAGGTCACCTTGTTTCTTCGCCTTTGTCTGCTCCTCATCCGACTCTGCCGCTGGCTTCTTGTCCGCCAACATTTGGCGAGCTGTTGTGAAACCAAATGAATTCATACTCGCTTCTGTCTCTGTGTCTTTTTCCTTTTCCCTTTCCGTTTCCGTTTCAGTTTCAGTTTCTGAATTGAATTTGAAACTGGCTGTGGAGTTTGCTGGCTTCTTTTGCGTCTCCTGCCTCTCCAAGCGGGAGACGCGCGCCTTGCGATGCATATCGTAGCTGCCATCGCCATTTGGCATTAGTCTGTATTTTCTCTCGCCGAACTCCAGCTCCAATTGATCCTCTTTTGTTTGGGTGGGCTCGTCTTCCTCTTCACTCAGCTGTTTTTCCTTTGGCTCTTCGACTGCTGTTTCACTGGACTTTGTCTCGTCTTCATCTTTAGCCTCCTCCGCCTCCTCAGCTGGTTCGATTTTAACTGCCACAAGTGAGTCGTTTGGTTGCTCCTCCTTGCTTTCCTCCTTGCTTTCCTCCTTGCACTCCTCCTGCACCTCCTTCTTGACTTTGACAAGAAAACTGGCAATGGAGGTTTGTTTGCTCTGCTCCTGTTTGAAACCTTTCCGTTCACGTATAGCTTTGGGTGGCTCCTTTATTGAGTGTGGCTTCTGCTCATCCAGCTCCTTCAGCTTTCGCTCAAAATACGCCACACTGCCGCCCGTCCAGGCGCCCTTGGCGCTCGTCTCCGGTCGCGGCACATAGTCCAAAAGGATTGGCATTAATCTCGTCTCGGCAGTGAGCTTCTTAATGCTGGCCAACTAAAAGAAGTATATTGTTTAATAATAATAAAATAATATTGCAAGTGAAGCTAAGACAAATTTCGTATTTTAAGAGCGCATTATTTGTAAATCTCTGCGAGTGTTTTGTTTTTTATTCGACTTTATTTTACTACAATTTGCGATATATAAATAGGAAATGCTAACTTTAGCTGCTGTGCATTTAATTCCGTTGCAGATGCACGCTATATTTAAATATAGTTTTCTCACAGAAAGGTGAAAGCAGGCGACGCAATTGGCAATCGCCCATTTCTGTAGTAGCTTTATGATAACCAACCCAATGCTAATTAGAAATTTATTTAAATATGTAGAGCTCATAATTTGTTATTAGAACTGTTGACATCTAAATTTCATTATAAAATTGAACAAATACAAGAAAGAACTGAAGAATTTCCGAGTTGCTGAATATTGTTTGAGCATTGTTTCTATAACTCGAAATTTATCCGATTTGTTGAGATATAATTTGCCCATTTAAAAGGTTAAGCTATAATCTAGATTAATCAATTAATTAACCTCTGAAAAGCTGCCTTTATTAATAGCGATTAGTTAAATTGTAGCTTTATAAAATAGTTGTGGAATGTTGATTGAATATTTCCGAAATTTTAGAAGCTTCCAAATACCAGTAAATAGTAATTTTGATTAGGTATATTTTACTTTGAAAAGGATTGTTTCTATTTCAGATTTACTAGTAACATAATAATGCTTGCAACTTGTAAGTTTGTTGAACTTAACTTGGTAAATAAAATGTTATCTTTTGACAGATAGTTCAAATAAGATAATCACTATATACACTATCTATATATATACTCTACACTATTTTAGCGATTTGGGCGAATCTGACTATGAAAAGCAGGAATTTGAATATTTGCAGTCTGCTCAGACTAGAATAAATACTCAGACTAGAATAATAATGACTTGATGCTGACTAAGTATATAGAGATATATATATACATATACTGCATGGAATCGGGCTTGCCTCTTTCAAATACATAATTTGTGGCAAACCTAGTTGCAAGAATATGCAAATTAAAAGCAGCCAATTGACTCTTTCCTGATCCTCAATTCAAATTCAAAACAAATAGTTTCATTTGCTTCCTTCAAGCTGGACACACCTGTTTGGCTAACGCATGGCGATACAGTTGGACGACACGCTGCTGGCGGAACACCTCGTACTCCAGATCGACAGCGATGGCCTCGTAGTCGTTGTGCCGCAGGACACTGCGTGGCTGCTGCTGCTGCTGCTCCTCCTTCGCATCGCTGGCACATTTTTTCACATTGGCTTTGAGGGCATCGATGAGCGCGTCCAGAAACTTCTCGCGTTGCGTGTGCTGCAAGCCGGCTACTTTGGAGTCGGTGGACTGGGCGTGACGCACTCGGGCAATCTGTGTGGCTGTCTCCTGCTCCAGCTGGCGGGCAGCACTCAGTTGTTTGCGCAACTTGAACTGTTCGCGTATAAAGTCCTCGGATTCCTTTTTCACACGCTTCGCGAGCACCGCATGACTCTGACCCGACTCGTGATCCGAATCCTCGCTGCCATAATCCTGAGCAGCACGTTTGCTGCCCGCCCGACCACCTAAAGGAGGAAAGTGTTTACCAAATGAGGTCACGTTTAAGTGGAATCGAACTCACCCTCGTAGAGATCGGCGCAATCCTGCAGCGAGATGCTTGACTTGAATGTGGCGTCCATGCAGAGGCGCTGGAACATCTCCAGCGCTTTGGTCGCCTGCTTGGGCCGCTTGCACACATCGCACTGGCCGCGGCAGTCGGGCGCCGGATCCCCAAAATAGTCGGCAAACAGTTTGTGGCGGCAGCGTGTCTGCTCACAGAAGTCGACGATGCGCTCGAATTGGCGCAGCGCACGCTCCGTGAGCATTTCACGATCGCCACGCCCCCGGGCACGCTGTGCATCATGTTGGAGTAGAAAGCGTATGGAGCGCACATCCTCGCGTCCATAGTAGAGCCGGCAATAGGAGGGGAGATTATCGCGACCGGCACGACCCGATTCCTGGTAATAGGCGGCCACATTCTGCGGCACATCCCAGTGGATGACGAAGCGTACGCTGGGCTTGTCCACGCCCATGCCGAAACTGTTTGTGGCACAAATGATGGCCTTATCGCCGCGCATCCATGCTTCCTGCACCTCCACCCGGTCCGCGGTCTTCAAGCCAGCATGATAGGCAATGGCGGCGATGCCCTGCTTGGAGACGCCCACCGCGACACGCTCAACCTGATCCCGGGTGCGACAGTAGATGATGCCACAGCCACGTTTTGGTTTGGGCAACGCCTTGAACTGCTCCTCATCGCCCAGACAGTGCTGGGCAAAGGCGGCCAGATGCTGGAAATCATCCTCAATGGAGTTCTTGTACACAATGTCATAGTAGAGATTCGAACGGAAGCTGGGCGTGCTGAATTGGGCCACAGGCTGGCGCAGTTTCAGCTGCTTGTAGATATCCTCGCGCACCTCCCGCGATGCAGTCGCCGTCAGTGCCAGCCAGACGACATCCGGATATTTGGCACGCAGTTCGCCCAGCTTGAGATAGTCGGGCCGGAAGTCGTGGCCCCACTGGGAGACACAATGTGCCTCATCCACGGCGAAGTAGGCCAACTTTTTGTGCTTGTGCAGCGAATGGAGCAGATCCTGAAAGAATTTTGTGGCCGCCTGCTCTGGTGTTATATACAGAAACCTGATGTTTGTCTTGATGGCACGCAGATCTGTGATGACACGCTCACGCTCCTTGCTGCTCATTTTGGAGTTTAGGGAGTCGGCGGGCACTTTGAGCTTGGCCAAATGATCGATTTGATCCTTGATCAGCGCCAGCAGCGGCGAAAAGACAACCGTCAACTGATCCTTACACATTAGCCCGGGCAGCTGGAAGCACAACGATTTGCCCGACCCAGTGGGCATCGACACGTACACATCCTGCTTCTCTGCGTGATCAAATTTAACAGAGATTAGACTCAAGTAGATTATTTATTCTGGTTCGTTTCCCTTCTTACTCTTCACAGCGCATTTTATGGCTTGCTGCTGCAGCTCCGATTTGAATGATTTGTGGCCAAAGTGCCTTTGCAGCGCCTCGTTGATGGCACTCTTGTCCTCCGTGGCATTGTTAATGCTTGTCATCGTCGCGGCAAACTTAACAGAAAAACAACTCACATAATTGGAACACTTAACAAAAACGAGATAAAAATTGTTGCGTATTTTCTTTGGCGTGAATGCCGCCAAAACAGCTGTGAAAGCGATAACAAAATCGATTGGCAACTGTAACCAAGCGATAACACATTCGGAATATCGATATATCGCTAGCACAGCAGATAGCAAATCACATTTAATTAAATGTAGCTATGTTTAATTATTTTAAAACAATAACAATGAAGCACTTCAACAACTAAATTACATTTGTTCCTCAATGCCGGTCATTCGTTCATATATGCCGCCAAAGAACAGCTGATAGGGCTGCCATTACAAAGAGAAAGATCCGCGCTGCCAACTTGCTGTAAATAATGATACAGAAAACGGCTGAAAATATTTGGCTAAATGTACATTTATTATTCAATGCTTAAAAATATAAAATTTCATTAAATAGTACACCAAATATATATAGAATGCTCATTTTTAAAAATAATAAATTAATTACAATTTGTTGTATAATATGTGTAACAGCATCAAGTTCTGACGTCACTTTCTGTAACAAGTGCCACAACTTGTGGCATTGCATCTTCTGCAATTGAATCAAGCGGAATTTACATTTGACATTGTGGTAACAGCGCTGCCAACATCGTTAACATAATGAAATGCCTAACATAATGTTAGCTACCCTCGTGCCGCTAACAATGTACTCTACTCAAAGTAATAGCCGTGCCTCTCTTTCTGCATTCAGTCTAATTTCCGCGCTCGATCCGCACGCACTTATTTGTTCGTGTTGCGCATCGGATCGGTTACGTCGCGTTTGCGAATGCGATTGTGTGTGAGTGTGCGTGTGTGTGTGTGCGCCTTACATTAATTGTTTGTTGATTTTTAATACTTTTGTGTAAACGAAACCAAAGAGCATATTGTCTGCCTGCCTGCATCTGCACACCATAAAATGCACAGTAAGAAACAACAGCAACAACAAGAGGCAAGTGCAATGCCGGCAACAACAACAACGTAATGCATTATTTCGTTGTGCGTGTGTCAGTGTCTTGTGTCTGTGTTAGTTAGTGCGTGTCCCTCTCTTTCTCTTTCTCACTCTCTGTAATTCACTCTTGTCGCCAAATTTATAGTAACGGTAAACACGCAAAGCAAAGTGCAAAAATATCAACAGCAACAACAACAACAGCAAAAGCCGGCAAGGCCATAAAGAAAGTTAATCGTGTGACAAACCTTTGCAACACTAACAACAACCACAACAATAAGAATAAGACCACAATGTTTGTCCCACAACAAAATCAACATCTTCCCTGCAGAAGAAGAAGAACAACAACAGCAACAAATGCCGCCTGCCTTGTGATAATTAACCGTCTGCTGTTATCGCTGCTGTCCACAATTGCAATCACAGCAACACTGGCTCAGCCTCAACAGCAGCCAGAATCTTCGCTTGCTGGAGGCGCTCATGTTGCCGCCTTGGCAGCTCCTGGTCCCGGCGCCACCTCAATCGGCTCCTCGTCGATCCTCGATCAATTCAGCCCCAATTGCAGCGCTGTGACGCACATTTTCCAGGCGCGTGGCATCGATGCCAACGAAATACCGCAAAAGCCCAGCAATGGTAAGCTCAAATTCGAAGAGTATAAATGGAGAATATAAGTAATATAAGTAAATGGAGCATCATAAATCACTTTGAATCGTTATAAGGAAACAATTCTCTTATATCATATACATTGGAATTGGAGCATCACAAGCGAATAGCAGAAAACACTTTCCAGGCCGAGTAATTAGTTTTTAAGAGTAATAGCAAAACATGTGTAAAGTGAAAATGGAGAACAAATCGAATTTATAATGAGTTGAAATTACTTTTGCCTATTTACATATTATATTTAAATGGGTCGCTTGGAATTAGATGTTCTCATTTTTATTTTTTAAAACACAATTTAAAGGCAAATTTACCGATTATTATTCATATTTTCTTCTGGCTTTGTAATTTTATTTTAAAGAAATTCAATACTTAAGCTTAAGACTTTATTTTAAATATTGTTTTTTAAAGAAGATAACTTCTTCAAATGTTGCATAAAATTATTGTGTGATTATAATATTTGAAAATAAAAATGAATAATAATGAATAATTAATTAATTAATAATGAACTATAAATGATTTATTTATTTAATGTGGGCTAGTCGAGAAACATTTTAAAATATTTCAAATAGGTAATAACAAACATAAAATAATTAGATAACTGCATACAAATTTTAAAATATTTTCTGCAATCAATAGGGGAAATCCCGTAAAAAAACCCAAGCAGGCCAGATAAATATTGGGTGTTACTTAATTCAAATTTATATAAATAATTCATGATTAAAATACATAATAAATAAATTAAAATTTAAATGTAGTAAAAAAAAAAAACAGAAAATTATAAAAGCCCAAAAAATAAGAAACATAAATTCTTTGAGAATGGTAATAATAAATTCCCAGAGTACTTTTTACGGAGCGAGCACTGTGGCCTTCTAAACCCAATCTAAACTTAGTCTCTTCGCGGGGCACCAGATCGTCTGCAACTTTGGCTCTGCTCAACGTCAATTTGCTTATCAATCGCTGCTTATCAGGAACAGTAACAAACGATATCCAAGCCACGCCCCCCAACTCCCTACACAGCCTCGTAACTAACCTACTTACATACGTATAAAAAAAACATACTCTTTTACTACCTGGGAACGCAAAAGTTTTCATTTATTGAGCAACTGTCGATTTAAAAAAAAAAAGACTCGTTTCGAGACTCGGGTTCTCAGCTTTATCTAAATGCTGGCGCTTATCAGGCGAATGCAGAAGAAGAGAAGCAATCAAATTTATGACTCACACACACACTCGACCAACAAAAAGAGGCTGCAACTATTTATTTGGCTAACTTATCTAACCAAAAAGAGCAACACAAATGCAAAAGAGAGCGAGAGAGAGAGAGAGAGAGAGAGATATGGCTGGAAAGGTTCACAAATGCCGACAACAATAAAATAAATCCTGAAGTGAACTGAACTGGATTGGAGTGCATAATTTAAACGATTTCAATGACACCTTGATTAATATCAGTTCACCAACAAGAACAACAACAACTGCCTGGAAACTTACCTGTTCTACACCCCTCTCCCTCTCTGTCATTCTCTGCAACTCTCACGCTCTGTCTGCATTTCCATGAAATTATGAACGAAACGCAACGCAACGCAACGTGTTGCATTTGACCAAAAGATAAAGAAACATTGAGAAAAAAAAATAAAAATGAAAACAGAAAAAAAAGGCAATCAAGCAACGTTGAAAACCAAAAATAAACAACGCAACACGGCGGCAGGTAAAGAGCAAAGAGAGGCAAAAGGCAGAAGAAGAGGCTGCAACAACAGTTTACCTGCAAACAAATCAAATATAACTAAAAATCAAAGAGAGAACGACTGAGAGATAGAGAGAGTGAGAGAGATATGGAGGTAGAGCGATCGTCTCGCTCTCTCTATCTCTCTCGCACTTATTGCAATTAAGCGTGATTAATTCAGGCTTTAAGCAAATTAACTAAAATCTACAAAAGGAGCTCTCCATGCCACAGCTCACAACTTGGCCTAGGCTCAACCACCAACAACAACAACAACTGTTGCTGCTGCTGCTGTTGGTCAGTGTGTAAAAGCGGTGTGACAACATTTTTTTGCTGCCTCCGCGCTCCGAAAACAGATTTCTTTGATTTTTTTGTGTGTATTTTTTTTATTTATCTTTTTTTTTTAGTTTTTTTTTTGTGTTGCGCCAAAGGAATTTGTTGTGAGATTTTTCGTTGTGGCTTCTGCTGACTGAGAGACTGGTCTTGAAACTGGTACCCTTTTTTTCGTTCGTCTTTTCAGCTGTGAGAGAGCGTAGGGCAGTTGAAGGGGTTAGCGCAGTGAGGGAAGGGGTGGGGAATTGAGCTGAGCAATCGACGCATGCGCCAAACTCGCCAGCCGACTGACGACTGGACAGTGGAAGACAATGCGAAGCGACGAGCCGAGTAGCCGAGGAGCATTCGTACATTCATCGTTCCTTCCTTCGTTCGTGCTCCTTACTCTCTCGCCCTCTCTCTCTGTCTTCCTCTCTCTCTTTAGAGTTTTGGATGAGATTTTGTTGTTTTTGTTTCTTTTTTTATTTGTATCGCTTTGTTCGTTTTCAAGTTGATTTGCGTGGAATTTTATTTCCTTCTTTGTTGTTGTTTTTTTGTATTCCTTTTTGATTTGTTGAGCATGAATCATGTGTGGCAATAGACAGGCAGTCAAACAGACCAAGGAGGAGGTGGGGGTGGCTGGGTTGGGTGGTGTTGACTCTTTGTCTGCTGAGGCGAGATTAAATTAGATATCATTGGCAAAGCTGTTGGAGAATTTGAACTTTTGTATGGACCTAAATCGAACAACACTTTGTTGCAACAACAGCAGCAGCTGCACAACACCTTCCGCCTGCCACAAAAAAAAAACAAAAACAACAACTGCCACTTAAAAGCTTCATTAAAGTTGCACTTCCTGTGCCAGGTAAATGCCGATTGTCCCCCTCCCAAAACAAAAAAAAAAAACACAGACAAAATCAAGCAATGCTTGCCTCTTGCCACATACCCTTTGCCGTCTCACCTGCAGCTGGCACTTAGTTCAAATTGTTTGCACAATTTAAGCAGTTCACAAAACATTAAATCGTTAAGAATGCAAAGAGGAGGAGTGCGGGGAAGACAGACGCAGGGAGTGCAGTAGACAACTAAAAATCTTTACACAGACACACACACGTGCAACATTCTCACACAAGAACTCTTGACTAAATCATGCCCCTGCCCCTGCCTCAGCCCCGTACCCGAACGGGTACGCTGCTGCAGCTACTCTTGGCAAAAAGGAAATTTACAGCGCCGCTGATTTCAACGTTGCCGCTGCTGCTGCTGCCGCTGCTCCACTTAGCCGGCAACTGCGGCAACTCTGCGGCAACTGTGGCGTTGCATCCATCGAGGTTGTTGCCAGGGCCAACCGCACGACTATTAATCATTTTCCAGCGTCCAAAACTAAATGGCCCTCTCATTCACTGCCACTTGCGCCACTCCCTTCATCTCCCTCCTCTCTCTCTCTCTCTCTCGCTCTCGCCCTCTCGCTCTCTCTCTCTCACTCTCTTGGTGTTTTTGGGGGTCCCTTTTTGCATTGTCGTTGCTGGCTGCATTCTTCGGTTGTGTACCACGCCAGACCAGAGATTTCCGAGCAGAGCAGCAGGCACTATATCATCATTATGCGAAATAATTCCTAAAGTTGTTGCATTGTTGACCATTGTGAGCTGAGGTCTTGGATTTCAGCCACATATATTTTCAACATCTCTCTGTGTGTGTGTGTGTGTGTGTGTGTGTGTGTGTCTGTTTGTGTCTGTGTGAATGTGGGCTTCATCATTTTATGGGCTACCCCGTGGATAAAAATGAAATGTGATTAGACTGCATGAAATTTGTTTCTATTGACTGAGGAATGCATATTTTAGAATGAATTCTTTAAAGTTCATTCTTTGAATGTGGAGCTGAAGAAGTTGTTTTTTAGAGGTAGAAGAAATACAGTCCTAGATATATATATAGATATATTTATGACAAATCACAAATCGATTAATCTGTTGAGGTAGTCCTATATGGATAATCATTTGTAGATAGCTCTATAATTAGCTCTGTAATTCTATAAGCATTTATAGATAAATCTGTTGAGGCATTCCTATATAGGTGATCACTTACAGATGAATCTATAAATTTAGACAGACATTCATAGACACAGTTGCAGTTATTTATAGACAGTTTTCTGATTGTCTCTGTAGAGAAAATCATTTAAAATAATTAGTTTTTCAATGCGGTACTATAAATTATTTATTAGCAATTATAAATCTACAATTTTGATTTTTTATAGGTATTTAAATAGGTTTTAAGATGTGTACATATATTATTTATTGCTATTATTTAGATAGGTAGATGTAGTATTATGAAGAGCTAATTATATTATTTATTTCATTTGATCTTTTAAATAATAATTATTATTACATATTTCAATCTCGTATCTAGATCTTTCTAAGCTTTTAAAGTCTTGTCTGTCTATATTTGTGGGCAGTTAACAGCATTTTGCAAAAGCTTTGACGTATCAAATTAATTAAGATACTTTGGCTATTTTAGGCTGGTTGTCGACAGGGCAACGAGGAAGAAGAACCCAACTATTTTGCATCTTTGGACAGTTTTCACTTACAAAACTCAGTTTATTATAAACTCTGACTATAAACGTTGTTAAACTCTGTACAAAATTCAGATTTCTGGGCATTGTTGAAGTTGGAGTTTCTTGGGGCAAGAATGTTAGGTGACCCTTGGCAATTTCCTACCTTTGAGAAAAACTTTGCTGGCATTTACCAAGAGTGACTCGAGAGTCGAGAGTCGAGACTCGACTTAACTGCCCAGCAAATGCTCATTATGTAAATGGTAGGGCGCCCACTGGTGAAACCCTCCTTAGACTGGCAATACTTGCACATACATATTATTATCCAAAGTCGGGTTGTAGTTTGTGCTTAGTTGTTAGTTGTTGTTGCTTGTTGCTTGTTGTTGTTGTCGCTTGTTTGTTTGCACGATT